GAGTTCAAGTTGGAGTTTGAGTTTAATTAGGAATTTCCTTCTGTAATCTCCTATTTAAGGAGCTACGAATTGAAATAAAACATTCAGTTTTCCAGTCAAGAAAATAAGGAGGAGAGTTCGGGTGGTCTCTTGGACAAATCACCCACACGATTGCCACAATAGGGTCTGTACGCAAGGCCAAAGGCAAGGGAAGATCAGGGGTTCCTTCCGTGGAACGACCCGTGACGCGATCCTATGCTCGGGCCCGTAACACTTAGGAAGGGGGAGCTCGGAGTCCCGTAGGAGGAGCTCGGGTCCCTTTGTATGGGGGAGCTCGGGGTGCTCCACCCTTAGGTTTAGGGCGAGCTAGGCCTTGCTTCTCAACAAGCTGTCACACCCGCCGAGTCGTTTGGCCGGGCCTCGGCGAGCTCGCTGCGCCAAGTGGTGGCCAGACTGTCACACTGAATTGTCACTTATGCTTGGTCATGTCCACGTGTCCCCATGCTACAGGGTCGGGCCAAATCACCCTACATCAAACCCCATTATAGATAACATGGACCTTCCTATTGCTCTCAAAAAAAGGGAAAAGGAAGTGTACTACTCATTGTATTTTACAGTATTTATCCTACAGTGGACTTTCTCCTTCCTACTGTGCTTTTCTTTCCTCTCTTGACTTTGTGTCTATACCCAAGGGTGTTAGTGAGTCTCTCTCCAAACCTGAGTGGAAGACAACTATGTAGGAAGAGATGGAATCCTTAATTAAGAATCAAACATGGGAGATTGTGGATTGGAAGCAAATGGGATTACGCAATCAAATATAAGGCAAATGAAAGTATAGAAAGGTATAAGGCCAAATTTGTTGCAAAAGGGTACACACAGAACTATGGCATTGATTACTTAGAGGCCTTTGCACCAGTTGCAAAGATGAGTTCTATTCAGATACTTCTTTCTCTTGTTGCCACATACTCTTGGCCCTTATTTCAACTTGATGTAAAGAATGCTTTCCTAAATGGAGATCTATAAGAGGAAGTGTATATGGATCTTCCTGATAGTTTCTACAATAATGCTGAAAAGGGAAAGGTATGCAGACTTAAGAAGTCACTTTATGGTTTAAAACAGTCACGTAGAGCATGGTTTGACAGGTTCAGGAAGGCCTTAGTTGCTTTTGCCTACTCTTAGACTCAATCTAACCATACCTTGTTTGTGAAGCAGAGGGGATCCTTAGTGTCAGTCCTAATTGTTTATGTGGATGATATTGTTGTTATATGGAATGACCTAAGTGAAATTGACAGTTTGAAGAAGAATCTACACAAGGAATTTGAAATTAAGGATCTTAGAGAGCTTAAGTACTTCTCGGGCATTGAAGTTGCAAAATCAAAACATGGAATCTTCATTTCTCAGATGAAGTATGTTCTGGATCTTCTACAAGAAACATGGAAGCTTGGAACAAAGGCAGTCAGTACTCCTGTTGATCAGAATAACATAATTAATGCATCAGAAAGTGAGTTGGTAAAGGACATTGGGAAATATCAGAGACTTGTGGGGTGGCTATTGTATTTGTGTATGACAAGACCAGACATCTCATATGCAGTGAGTGTGGTGAGTCAATACATGCATTCCCCACGAGTCCAGCATTTGGAGGTTGTTGATAGAATTCTTGCTTATCTGAAGGGACACCCAGGCGGAGGCATACTATTTGTTGATCATGGATAGTTGAAGTTAGAGGCTTATACAGATGCTGATTGGGCAGGATGCCTTGGTGACAGGAGATCTACTTCAAGAATCTGCACCCTTGTTGGGGGTAACCTAGTCTCGTAGAAAAATAAGAAACAGATAGTGGTGGCAATATCAAGTGTAGAAGCAGAATACAGGGCTATGGCACATAGAGTTTTAGAACTGCAATAAGTGATTTCTACTATATATACATATAATACACACGCACACACACACACACACACATTATACATATAAATATATATAAATAAAATAGTATATATGTAATATTTTTATTTTTTATATATACAATAATAACTAGTTTTTATAATTCTTAATTTTTTATATGTCAAATAAAAATAATTTATGTATAATTTTTTACTTTTATAAAATACTTGGCTCATAGTCGAGCTCAAGTTGAGTTAAGCTCGAATTTACGAGCTTTTGACTCTATGCCGAATTCAAGCTTAAGTCTCTAGCTCGAATCAAATTCAAGCCTCATAGTAATTGACAAACGAGCTCAAATAGCTAGACATTCAACTCAACTTGACTTGAATCTACCCCTACATATAAAGCATATTTATATTGCAATGTTACAATGGTTTTCTGGAATTGATACCGAATCTTGTCCACTCCCATACACATTGCTACACATCAGCTACGCACAAATTGATACCCGGCTCAAATGTGTCCAGCTTGTAAATGGCAAGCTTGACTCTTGCTAACTCCTTTTTCTCAATTTTTTAATTTAGGGAAAGTTTCACTTTAGTACTCTGAACTTTGGGGGTAATGTCAAGTTAGTACCCGAACTTTAAAATATATCATTGTAGTAGTACCCAAACTTTTGAAAACTATCAATTCAGTCCCTGCCATTAATACTCCATTAGGTTTGTCAGTCATGTGATGACATGTGATGACTTAAATTTTTCAATATGTTTGAAATACCCTTTAAGCATTATTTAGGACCATTTTACCCTTTTCAAATCAGCTTAATATTTCCCCCAAAATATACGGTTGGTTGAAGCTGAACGATGAAGACTGGGTGTTGCCGCCATCATTGTAGCAGAAGCTTTGGACTTCCGATGGCACCAACGGAGATTATCACCTCACCTCTGCCACGTATCATGGCACAGTGGTGTTGCCCAATTTTATCCCGATAAATGACGCCAATTGCCATTTGTTTCAGACCTTGGTGCGCCTACGGCAAAACCGGAGAGAGATAGAGCATGCGGGAAAACCAGAGAGAGTGCGCCTATGGGAAAACTAGAGGGAGTGCGCTTGCGGGAAAACCAAAGAGAGTGTGTGTGCGCCTATGGGAAAGCCATAGAGAGAGATTGAGAGATTACCAATAACAAAGCCACCATTAGCGTGGAGAGCGACCCTAATGTTGGACGAAGTGTAGTGAGTGAGATAAGGGAGGTGGAAGTGTTCTGTGTATGTAATCGATCGGTAACAAAGCCACCATTTCCCAGGTAAAGTTTATTGTTATTGTTAATTTACCACCTGCACTTCCTCTTGTTTCTTTAATTCTTTCCACTATGCTTTTTCACTTATTATTTATTCATCTATGGATCTTCATCTTCAACTCTGCCTTTTCACTTCCCAAGTTATATGCTCAATGCTCTGAAAAAAACTCCTTTTTTTCTCTTGCAAGGCCCTCGTTCTGTTTTTTCTTGTTTTAACTGTTCAACCAGAACTCTGAACAATTTGAATTAGTTTTCTGTCTGGTGGGTAGATTTGTGGATTTTGTTGGCTTTTCGCTCCGCTCATAGAACACATATGGTTGTGAAAACTTGAGAGTGGTTTAAGAGATTCTTTTTCTTTTTTTCTTTTCTTATCTCTCTGTAGGGCCTGGGTTTTCAGGTGTTCATTTGAGAACTCATATCGTTAAATCTTATTTGGGTTTAGTCACGAACTTCACCACTATGTTCTAACTGTCAATATTGTGATAGAGTTTTAAGGCTTCTATTTGTTCTCCGATTGGCATATCCTATTCAGTAGCAAATCTAACCAAGAACTGATGCTATGGAGGCCTGTTGTTTCTATAAGATGCTTATAATAGAATAATTGTTACCGGTGTGAATATGTTTGTAGATTGTAGATTGTTAGAAATCTGAGGTGTTAGAAATAGAGTGAGAAATAAGATTTGGGCTATATCATTCGATTCAGCTCCACCTTACTTGAATGGTTGATGGATGGATTTTTTTTTTTTTTTTTTGAGTTTCCTTGGTAGTTCTACTTTGAGGACTGCTTGTTAGATGAGATGAACGAGTATGTTATGTTTACTCTAACAATTCAGACCAATTAGATCTCTGTCAAGCACTCTATTGAAAGAGAATGAGACCTGCGAAAGGTAAGAGCAACAACAGAACACATTGAAAATTTATGTGAAGGATAAGAGAAACCCTTCTCCGGAGAGGTTTCTCTCCGGCAACGGCTGAACACATCAGGATTTCTCTCCCGCAATGATTTCCAAGATGAACTCATTGGCGGTGAACGCTGCAATTTTGAATAAGACCTGGGTGTTTGTTGTTAACAAAGGTTCTCGGTCTAAATCAGTAACGGTTTAAAAGGAGTAATTTTGACATTTAAAAAATCATTTTCTCTCTTCTATGGACCGCTAGGGGGTATTTTTATCATTCTACTTGTCTGTTAACTTCAGCTTAACAGAAACTGGACCAAATCGACAGTTTTCACAAGGTTTAAAATAGCGATAGGCCACGTATCGGGCGATATCGATACCTTTTTTTATTTTTTTTCAAAACCGATTCAGGGGGTCGGTTTAGGTCTCCTCCACCTCCAGACGATCAGACCCCTAATACAGGCCAATACGTATCGATACTTTAAACCTTGAGTTTTCAAAAGTTTGAATACTGCAGCACACATTTTAAAATTCGGATACTAACTTAACATTACTCTCAAAATTTAGGGTACTAAAGTAAAGTTTTACCTTAAATTTAAAACAAATAAAAAAAATGACAACATACTGTTTGACTATCGATTTAAGAGACAGGAGAATCCAACGAGGGAAAGAAAACGATTTGAAACAAACCCTCACGTTATCTTCTTCGGCCAGAGACAAAAGCCATGGACAACTGAATTTTTTTATAGAGCCCTAACCATTTCTCAGTCCTTTCTTCTTTAACCAAGAGAAAGGCCAACTAAAATGTGCACATCGTTTGGGATATTGCATTAATAGAATTGAAGGTTTAAAAATACCATATACAAGGTTTTGCGCCAAAGACATTTGTATATGCAATATTTCCAAATGGAGCCTGAAAGATAAATCTGAATGACATGTTTAGAACAATGTTTCAGATGGAGGATGATTGTAATGGAGAATTGAAATCAATTTCTTCCTTCACCCTGGTTGGAGAGTTATGGGTACGGAGATGAAAGACCCCATTTAGGTCTGCAACTTGGGTGGGCCCAATCTGAATTTTTGCATTAATTGGGCCTAAATTTTCAGACTACGGGCTGGTCCTGGGCCAAAAGCTTGGGCTGGGCTTGAGTTGTTCCTCAGGTAGCCTGAGCCTGGTCTGACCCAATCCAAGCCTGATCCATCCTAAGTTTCCCTACCTTTTTTTTCCTCAAAACAAACATAGCTTAATTGTATATATATGTAAATTTACATATGTATAAAATTTGTCTAAACGTGGGCAGAGTTCGTGTGGGCAGGAGATCCGGAAACTTTACATGTTTGAACGTCCGACGTGGGGTCTATTTTCCCTCTCTCACATCATTTGAAATCCTAAGCACGAAGCCTCACGCAGCAGATGCCGCAGAAAATGCCCCAAAGAAACTCCAGCAGCAGCAGAAACGCCGCGGCTCCCAGAAGATCTCCAAGGTTTTTTCATACAAAAGATCCTCCGGACAACACGAAACTTCATAAATTGAAGTCGAAGAAGGATCAGGTATTTCGAACTCCAATCTCTGTCGAAAAACCCCAATCTGATTCTCATCCGAGTTCCATAGGAAATGTTACAAGTAAATCGTCTGGTGGGTCGGAAATAGCTGCGCCGTCGCTTCGTGGGTCGAAAAAACTGAAGGGATCTGTCGATGGGGTCGAGGGTTCTCGATGTCTTAGACGATCGCCAAGGTTTACTAGTTCAGTAAATATTCACGCAGACGTCAAGAAAAGGGGCGGTGATGACAATTCTCATCCATTGGTGCAGTCTGTTTTAACTGATTTTCCAGGTAAAGAGGTTACTTTGGATGTCAAACAGAAAGTAAATTTTGATAAAGTAGAAACAGAATCCTCCGGACCAATGGGTTTCACGAAGGTTGTAGGAAAATCTGAGGTGGGTATTGATTGTTCAAAGCTATCTGCAAAGAAGGGGAAGGGAGTAAGTAGTTCTGTAACTTTTGCAGTGAAGACCCCAGAGGGAGGGCGAGAGAAGAAGACGGTAGATACGAATAGAGTAAATAAAGAGATTGGGGTCAACAAGAAGGAGAGATTTGAGGGGTTTCCAAGACGATCGGCAAGGTTTAGTTCAGTGAATGTTCTGGAAGATGCCAACAAAAAAGGCAGCTATAAAAAGGCTGGCCTAGTGCAGAGTGTTTTTACTGATCCTCCGGCTAAAGAGGTTACGTTGGAGGTAAACCAGAAACAGAATACGCAGAAAGAAGAAACAAAATTTCGTAGAAGTATTGTAGGAAAACCTGAGGTAGGCATTGATTCATCCGTGGTATTTACATGGAAAGAGGGGAAAAGGAGGAACGGCAGTTCTGTAACTTCTCCAGCGATGACTTCACTAGAAGATGGAGGGAAGAATATAAGAGATGCGAATAGAGTAACGGAAGAGAGTAGAGCTGACAGGAAAAGAAAGCATCAGGAAAGTTGTGGCCTTCAGGGCTGGACAAAAGATCAAGAAGTGGCACTACAGAAAGCTTATTTTGCCGCAAAGCCTTCACCTCATTTCTGGAAGAAGGTTTCAAAACTGGTATTTATTACTATTCATCTCTGTCCATGCTCCATAGTTAGGTTACTTGTTCGAACCTTCATTTTTTATCCTGCGGTATCTCCATGATTGCAACATTTCTAGAAATATTGCCTTCTGAAGGAAGTGCTTCAGAAATCTTTTGTATTATTTCCCTTGTATTCATCTCTCTCTCAGTTTCGGCTCAATTCATAAATCTTGTACTTCATCTAAAATTTTGGTCTATAATTTTCACTTCGAATCTCTCCAGTTCTTGCACTGGAGATATTGATTGTTTTTGGAGATCTTAAAGAAAGTGTTTTGTTAGGGGAATTTTGGAAATTCTGTTTTGGGCGTGTGTTGGTGGTAGTGGTTGGGGTTGGGGGGGGGGGTTCAATCCCGTTAGAGGTGTGGACGGTTAACCTATGATGGGATATGTATGGAGTTGTTCTTGACAATTGGGTTTAATAGGTGTATCAGTGTCCTTTTCTATCTTCAGTGGTTTCTTTTAACCTCCTTTTTTTTTGCATTTTTGTTTGTTATTTTAATAAATTTTCCCTTTCTCTAGAAGAAGTATCTACTGAAGGCATCAGCTGTAAGGTAGATTTCAGCCTATACCTGGAGAGTTCACATGGACAGGCATTCCTTAAACATGTGAGAATTTATTTTCTCCCCTTCAATGAAGGGCACGAGCATCCTTCTGAGCACTCTCTTGATGGGCATGTCGTCAGAATTGTATAATGCTTGGACAGTAATTTTGTCAGGTTGATGCCAATTAGATTATCTATCAATGGGGTGTGCTTGGAAGAACATTTGCATCAAATGAAGGAACAAAATTAAACTTGATAGGTGAAATCTTAATCATCAATTGGTCTTTTGCTCAGAGCAGACTGGTTAAATCCCACTGGTTTTGAAAGGTCCAGGTCATTTTGTAGGTCTCATTGCTTAGCTCAGTTAGCAAAGGGTTTTGTAAATGATGTGCTTTGGTGGAGCAGCCCTCTTTATATTGAACGTTTTATTTCTGCTTTATGTTAGTGTTTTTTTTTTACACATAAAAAAAAGGTCACTTTATAGGTCTTTCGTGCATCTGATAGTGTAGACATGGGACATGCACTTTGCCAGTAGGGAACTCTCCCGATATGTAACCCTTATGTCTTAAAAGCATGTGCCTTCAGGCCCACGTGTAAAAGTATAATGGACATGCATCATACCTTAATATGCTTCATGTTAGAATGTATCTCATACATTAAATGAATTAGTTTTCTCATCAGAACAAATTAAAGACAAATTGTAAGATTTCTGTATATATGGTTTTCAAAACCCATTTGAGGTTTTGATATACATTAAGAGTTTTCTAGTTGCCTCGATGGATTTTTGATGAAGTTAGAAGTTAGTTTTCATGATTTTAGATGTTAAATGGTAGTATGATGTCATGTTTCTTTAAATTCTCCATTCTTAATGTTACATTTCCATGGAATCAATTACTAAGAATGTCATAATGACAAATTGTTTCAGGTTCCTGGAAAGACTGCTCAGGAATGTTTTGATAAAGTCCACTCTGACCTTGTTACCCCACCTCAACCCCCACCTCGTTCAAGGACAAGCAGAAATAGCTCATCTCCCATGGGCCATTTCTCTCTTTCTGGAAGTAAACTTCTGGAACCCACTGAGCTCAGTGTTAAAAGGAGAAGGAATAGCAAGCAGAAGAGATACCATGCACAGAAAACTGTGAGGCATTTACTACAGAAGCATTATCTGATGGACCAAGGCTGTGAAGCAGATCTGTTCTCAGTTCTTGAAACCACCATGGGTTCTTCTTGCCAAGCTTTAGAGCGGGATGTAGTCTCCACCCCTGAATGTATACAGAAAAGTTCTGGTTTTCTCCAGAAGTGTCGCAGTAGATCATCATCAGCCCATAAGAAGTCGCTGCCAAGATTAAGGAGTTCATGTGAAACAGCCCTTGTTAGTCCACCGGTTCTAAAGCAAGTTAAGAATCTGTTTTTGCACGAGAAGTACATTGACCAGCTGCATTGCAGGGAGGTTAGAAGAATGGCTGCATCTACTTCTGCTGCAAAATGCATTGGTCCTGAAAGTGATAGAAAGGATTGTCATGTACAGAAAGTGGACATGCTTAAAGCAGCAAGGAATGCTCTTTCTTCTGATGCAAGAGATGTGATTAAACAATTTCAACATCTGCAAGCCCATGATTTGAGCAATTATGATGACTTTGATGAAGATGAGAATGGGGAAGACAATGAAGATGATGATTAACCTTTATAATTTGTATTGTTTCATTGCATAGAAAATATTGTGAGAGAGTGGCTCTGTAATTGGGAGCACAATGCCTCTGGTATAAGCACCTAATTTGTCACCTGTTGACCTTGTATTCTTCCATCAACTGGTTTCTAGTTTGTGAATTCCAGTTCTGACTGCAAGTTAACAAGAAGCTTCTTTGTAGCTTTACTTATGACTGAGGGAAGGGATATTTGGTCCCACAGATGCTGGAATTTTTATGTAGTCCATTTACCTTGCAATTTCTATCTTATGAAGTAATACTGTCTTGAACAATAAATATAGGTGGAAATAGGAAAAAGTTAAGAAAGAAAAATACCAGCTTATTGTTTGTAAACCAATTAGTCAGTAAGTTTAAAACACACAAGGGGTAAGCTTCTATTATTTTTCATTCTCGTCCTTATTTGCTTGCTTCTTGTTAACATAAGACATCAGTATAGAAGATGTTATTTGAATTAATAAGAGTTGCTCAAGTAAATCTATTAATAATGTTAAATTTGGTATTTATGGGTTAGGTGTAGCAGTGGAAATTAGGCGGGTTGAATTGGGTTTGGTTTGGGTTGAGTTTCAATCTAATCCATCTAACCCGTCAAGTATCCAGTTATATAAAATTAAATGGGTTGGGTTCAACCCAAACCTGCCTTGACCCAATCCAACCTGTCCAAACCCATTTATCTAATATTTATATACTTAAAAGTAAAAACTAAGGTGGTGTTTGGTAAATCTGAAGTCTGGAGTCTGTAAAGTAAAAAAAAAAAACTTTGATAAAACTTTGAAAGCAATTCATGAGAAATTTGCTTTTTTGCTTTTACAAACATCTAAATGTAGTGAAGTTGTTCGGTGACGTCTGATTAAATATGCATTTTACAAATTTACCCCTTGAGCTTTTATTTAAATAATAATAAATAAAATGCTTAAAAGAATATGATATTATTAAAAATTTATAAAATAATAAAAAACATAAATTTTAAGAAATGATAAGTTAAAATAATTAATAAATAATATTAAATTACTCCTCTTCCTAGCAGAAGAGTCATCACCATCTCCGATCACTTCAGAATCATGGGGCTTCTCCATTTCTCCAAAATTCCCAATGGTTTTGTTACACCAAAGGTAATCTTCTTAAGCTCATCCCACTTGCTTTCTGCATAGGCTTATCTATTCTGTTACCCGTCTTCAACAACAATGCGTCTTCAACCCATAAGTATATCTCCTCTGTCACCTGTCTTCAACAACAATGCGTCTTCAACCCATCTTCAGCAATGCATCTTTAGCCTGTAATTTTATCTCCTCTGTCACCCGTCTTCAACAATAATGCTTTCAACCGTAAGCTTATCTCCTCTGTCACCAGTCTTCAACAACAATGCGTTCAACCGTAGGCTTATCTCCTCTGTCACCAGTCTTCAACAACAATGCGTCTTGCATCTCCTCTAATTGTCAGAAAATAAAGCCAACCTTCTTACTTCGATCCTCTGGATCCAGATCAAAATTAGAATCAGAATAATCATCCACTGTTCATCAATGGGACACCTATCAAATGCCCGCTTCTGTCACTCCTAGAACATGGTCCAGTAATAACTAGACCTGTTGTTTATATTCCAACCCACACCATCAGATTCTGATTTCTCTTCATCCACTCCTCTCATAATCTCCTCTTCATTCAAAACCTTAGACTGATCATCACTCTCTTCTTCTACAACATCTAGCTCATCAATCTGATCGTCATTTCTGTTATTGGAACCATTGCCGTCTACATCTTCTGGTAAAGGATTGGCAACGAGTTCATCAAGTTGGTTGGAGGAATCTTGTGAGAAATCTAGATTTGGAAGAGAAGAATCTCCTGCCCTAGTTTTGAAGAGGAGAATGGGTGTACCTGGGACCGTCAGTCAAAGCTGAGTCGACTGTAGAGAATTGAGACCGAGAGGGGGAGAAGGAGCACAATGATGATGGTGCAAAGGTGAGCACCGTAACAAGGGTGTGAAGTTCTGAACATTTTTCGATTTTTAAAATTTATAGGACATGGTCGGAAGTGAGATTTCGTCCACTACCTCCGAACATGCTCGGACTCGGAGGTAGTTCAATCGCTGAATTATTCTGAGGGTTGTGCAATGTTTGGAGGGATGTTTCAAGGCAGAACCGAACGACCTCCGACCGCTGAAAAAAGCGACATTTTCAGCGTGCGGAGGTCCCTTAAGTGCTATCAAATACCCCATAACTCTCCCTTTTGACAAATAAGGGTCTGTTTGGTTCGGGGGAATAGGACCCTGGAATCGGAATCGGAATGGATCATTCCGTTTCCGGATGTTTATTCTAGGCGAAATGGGAATCCCTCGTAGGACATTCCCGACCCCTCCCCAGGGAATGTGATTCCCATTCCGGTTTATAAATTTTTTAGATAAAAATGCCCTCCTCATTTTCGATCTAGGCAAAGAGACGAAACAGGAGACTGGAGATTGGAGTTTCCCCATTTTCAATCCAGTCGAAGAGACGAAAGAGAGATTGCTAGAACTCCAAGCCTTCTTCCATCGCCGAACAGAGAGCCGAACCATTTTGTTTTAATTGGTATGTAAACCGCCATTCTACTTCACTTGGTGATGATCGTAGATCTTATTGTCGGAACACCTATGCGAAACTTCGCTTCATTCTTGTGATTTGTTTGTTCATATTGATCTCTTTAATTGTTTCACTTGGTTTTAATTTGTTTGCTTGCTTCACGTTCAAATATAATTCTGATTGGATTTTCTCTTTTGCTGGAATTTGATCCATTTCGTTTTTTTTTTCGATATGCATTTAACTGTTATTTAATCCAGTATCCTTACGGAGCTACTTTTGTAGTAATTTTTTTTGTCAGCTATCTGTTTGTTTTTTGTATTGCATTCTCTCAATTTTGGAGTTTCCCCATTCTTCCTTTTAATCCCCAAAAAGAAAAGATTCTCTCTCTCTCTTCTGTTATTCATAAAATCTCAGATGGAACAGGAAGATTGTTCGTAATTTAATTGTTTCCTCTACTATAGCTGGTCATGCATTGAAACCGACATGGGCGATTGATTTTCCATAAGATCAGCGAGTGTGATCTTCCCACAATTGCCTGTGTCTAGCCCATCAAACTGGTTGCAGATTTGCAGGATATCTTTCTCGGCTATTTTTCTCATTTCCTTAAGCTTGTAGATAACGTATTCAGATATGCTGGATGTACACAAGAAAGAAAAGAGTACAAAGTTAGAAGGGATAAGAAACCAAAATGTAAGAAAGAAATGGTCCTTGGTCAAAGCAAAATGGGTGCAACAACCAAAGAAAATAGCTTGATCTCTCTCCTGGTCAGAGTCAGAAAGCAATAGTTTTCAAAATACATGCAAGAGAACCCATCTGAATGAAGATCATGTTCTTCCATTCCTGTCTTTATTTTTTCTATTTTTAATCAGCTATAGACTAGATGGTAAGTTTCAGAGATTTCATACGGTTTAGATGATACAAGGATTGCACTTGTAGAATCAACAAACCACAAATATTCTTGTAGTTTATATTGAAGACTATGCCCATTGTATTTACGTCTATATTTGGCAGAAACTATCTCAATGGTCTCACTATTGCTCATAATATGCTGTTACATTCAAAATATATATATTTTTTGAAAAACTGAGACTTAAATACCACACATTGGTAAGTTTGCTTTGGAGTTTAGCTATTTCTTTGGAGGTGTACTACTGTAGTTCATTATTTTTATAATGGACACTAGTATGTCAAGCTAGAATATGCGCCATTACTAAATATTGTGAATCTGTCATTTGAAGTGCGGATAGGATACCTTGGATTATTCTTTTTAGTTGAATAGTCATGTTTTAATATTCCCTCTAATGGAACAAGCAATAATGATCTTGAGTGCACATTTCACAGTTGTGCTTCATTTCAGTTATTTCATCATAAAATGTATGCCTATGAACATATTGCAATTTAGTGATGCAGTTAATTTATTTCCTCAAATTGCTTATTAAAATTCTGCAAACATAATTGTTGATTCTCAGCCTCTGAAGCGGAAGAGTGAAACAGAAGATTGTGAAGGCTTCCATGAGTGGACTACCAGTCCTGGATACACTGAAGTGGTTAACAGCCCCCTTCGTACACCAATATCAGGAAAAGGGGGCAGGGTATACAGTAAGTCAAAGGTTCCAAAGCATAGCAAATCAGGGCCTCAAACCCCTGTGCCAAATGCAGGTGAGAAGTGTCTCTACAATAGTTTCTTTTTTGGCATTAATTCTCACTGTGGTTTCTTTTTTGGCATTAAGTTGATTCAGTCTTTCCTATGGTACTTTGGATTGCTCAAAGAAAATTGAAATCGAATGATTTTTTAATTTCTCACCTTTCAAAACCTCCTTGTCAAATAAAGCACTAAACTGGATGTGCATGTTTCTAACAATTTTTTTCCACTGTTATCTTTGATTGGTATTTGAGATATTGTTGTTGTAGACATTACCAATGAATTATATGATCAAATTTCTTGCCAGTAGCCTCAAGATACTTAAAGAATTAACTAAAACATAACTAATAAACTAATATTGTCATTAGGTGCTAGCAACAAGTAGGGAAATGGCAAAATGTTGCAACCAGTGATATAATCTGTCATAACTAAATAGCTAATAAACATAACTGAGTGTTATATACTTCAATGATGACTAATTATTTCTTATTTTTATTTTCACCTGTGCATTTGTGAATTTTATTTGGATATGGAACATGATTTACATCTTTCTTTWTATGTGCTTGATTTYAATAATGGTTTTGATGCCATAATATTGGTCCAGATGATTAACCCATTGAACAGAGGGTTGGTCTTAGAATGATGTTTAGTTTAAAGCAAATATTTTTCTCATGTTTGAATATGTTGATGCTAAGATAAGTTCAATTGAGAGGAAGCCCCATGAATCTGGTTGTGCATGCCGGTTTTATGTAATATGCTATAGAGCCCAAGAACCTCACAACATGGTGAAGATGACACTTGGGGAAGAAATCAGAGAAGTAAAACTTGAAAATATTGGTATCTTACAAAAACTTCAGAGAAAACCTTCAGAAGATGTCTACTATCGTTGGAGCTAYTCTGAAGACTRCTCCTTCAYGCGCAGAGCTATACTACATTGCGGTCAGTTCTCTTCTGATATATCATGGCTACTGGTTGCATCCATTTGGAAAGGACTTGGATTTGATGTCAAAACAGTGCAAAATAAAATGGTCTATCAACTTCTTGATAGTGATCATGACATGTGTTCTCCAAGTTACTTGAACAATGTAAATACCATAAACTTCCAAATAGATAATGAAGTTATGAAACCCAGTAATATGAACTTTTCCCCTGTGGTTGCTGTAAATACATTTGTTTCAAATGATCCTATGGATGTGGATCTTGTTCATGATATGAAAGAAGATAAGCATTTTCTCCATATATGCACTTGGTAGCAGGTTGCCAATGTGTGTATATGTTGAAAATATATAATTAGTGGATGCTTTTGAGGTTCTTTTAACAGGGGCAGAATTGGAAATTTTGGCTGATTCCAATTCCACCTTCTAGTCGAACCAAACAGCAGGAATCGGAATCCGATTCCGATTCCTGCCTGAACCAAACAGATGCCAGGAATAGATGATTCCGATTCTGATTCTGGTCTTATCCGCAAACCAAACGCACCCTAAGTTGGTTATAGCTTGGCAGTTGTTTACACAAGTGGTGGAAGGTTCAAATTACATTATATGCACATTATTTTTACAAGAAGAATAAAAAGCAATTAATCATTTGAAGCCATTTCACTATGTTTGGGTTTTGAGTTTGACCAAACCACTTAGGTTCAAATTGGCCAGACCAATTTGAACTATCTAATTGGAATTATCTTTGAGCTAATCACATCAAGAGTGGTCAAACCATTTGGATTCGATTGGTCCAATCGGACCAAATTGGACTAGTTCAACATATGACGAGTTGACTCAGATCGATCCATATCGGGTTGTGAAAATCTTTGGGTCTGAGTCGACTGATTCGAGTCGGGTCAAGGTGGGTAGTCCAAATCGATCCGGTTTTGGGTCAGATCGACCGGTTTATATCGGGTTGTGTAGGTTTTTAGACAGAGTTGGTCGGTCTATACTGGCCAAGTTAACCAGCTAGGCACCCCAGATTAGAGCAGTCCAAATTTGGGTGGGGTAGGATTACCGGATTCGGACTGGGCCGGATCAAGCTTGGTTTGGGTTGCGCTAGCCAACCCAAACAGATTAAACTGAGGTGATTGGGTTTGTTCATATTCAAACTAGGCTGAACTGAGCCAGCTTGGTCCAGACTCGGGTTGGGTTGATTTGGATTTATGTCAATTTGGGTAGAGGTGTAAATCGGGTTAGGCCAGCATGGCCCGCACTGTCGTGTCATGCCACCCGTGGCCCGCAGGCTAGCACGGCCCAACCCGCAGCGGGCCATTCTCAACCTGTCCAAAGAACTAGCCATTGGAGACACCGCCCCCCCCCCCCCGACTAGTTTCAACTTTTTTGTGGTGTTTTATAGAAATACCCCCTAACAACTATATAACAGTTGGTTTAGGGGGGGGGGTATTTAGGTAAAGTGATAAATAACTTTATAATGACCAAAATACCCCTCCCAACAACTAAAAGACAACTAGTTTTTAGGGTATTTTGGAGAATTAAATTATTTTCAATTCCTATAAATAGCCTTATCCTCCACCATTCTCATACTTTCTTAGTCTCTTATACTCTCTCAAATCTCAACCTCTTCCCATACATCATACTCTCACATATACTCTCATACTCTCCACTTCTCAACTTGATTCAAGTTTCAACAAGAAGAAGGTTTGCTCGGGTATCTCAAGTTAGCAATTTTGGAGACTTGGAGGCTTCAACCATTGATATCAAGTTGAAATTCCGAACTAGCAATCTAGGTAAGTGCAATTCAATTAATTTTTATTTTTTATAATTGAAAAAAATGGCCAGCTTCTCCTTCTGCTCTCGACACCAATTCCCCAACGTAGTCAATGTCGATGGATGTCGATGTTCAGTCGCAATATGATAGTGTTAGCGCCAATATGGATGATACTGATATTTTCGACGTTCCTATGCCCCTAGTACTACTACTACTAGAGGTAGGGGAAATAAAAAAAACACTAGGTTTATTAGCCCGATTTGGACAATATTTAAAATAGAGGAGGTTGAGGGGAAGGGAAAGAGAGCCGTTTGTCAAAAATGTATTAGTGACTGTAACTATAGTAGTAGTGGCGGTACTAGCCACTTGGACAGACATTTGAAATGCCATTGGATGAAAGAAAAGAAACATCACAAGCACAAATAGGAAGTTAGTTTTTTTGTACTTTTAAATATTCCCAAGAAAAAACGAGGGAAGAATTAGCAAAATATATTGTGCATACTGAACATCCATTTTTATTAGTTGAAAAATACAAAACTTGATTAAAAAAGTTTATAGAAATACTATTAGAACAAATGCTTTAAAAAATTTTTATTCATATAAACAAAATTTAATTTCTATGTTATCAAATCTTAATTCTAAAATTGCAATTACTTCTGATATTTGGACATCTAGATTTAACATAAGTTATATTTCTGTTACCGGTCATTTTATTGATGAAAAATGGCTTTTACATAAAAAAAAAATTTAAATTTTACTAGGCTTGAATGGCCACATACTGGCCCAATTATTGCTATAAGTATTTTAAATACATTACATATTTATGGAATTGAAAATAAACTTTTTTTTATTAGTTTTGATAAATCTAGTAATAATGATTTAGCAATATATTTTAAAATCTCAATTAAAACCATTTTTAGATGGTGAATTATTTCATATTAGATGCACATGTCACATTTTAAATTTATTTATTCAAGATGTTTAAATATTATTTCTCATCATATTTCTAAAATTAGAAATTGTATAATATATATTAAAAATTCCAGAGCAAGAAAACAAGAATTTAAATATTTATGTCAAAATTATGGTTTAAAATATAAACATTTTATATTAGATGTTCAACATAGATAGAATCCTACCTATTCTATGTTAGAAAGTTGTATTGCTTACAAACAAATTCTTAGTGATTTTTATAATGCAAAAATGCCACACAATCCTATACTTGAGGAAGATTGGGAAATGACAATTTGTATAAAAGATCTTTTACAAATTTTTTATGATGCAACTAATGAACTTTTAGGTGTTTATTACTCAACTAGTTGTATTTTAGTTAATCAATAATTTATAATTAGTGAACGTTTTGCAAAATATAAGAAAAATCCACAATTTCAAAGTATTATTGAAATAATGAAAAATAAATTTAAAAAATATTTGAAGAAAATTTCTCCCCTTTATTGCTTAGCTATAATATTAAATCCTAGGATTAAGAAAGATGGTTTAGGAATTTCAGTTGAACCATATTGTGAAAATATGAATATTGAAGTTGGAAATAAAAAAAAAAAATAATTTATTATTTGAATCTATAGTTTATATGAATCTCAAGTGGATGGACATAACAAATCTTGTACAGTCGCAAGTTCCACTTCTAAAACAACTAGTTCCATTTCTAGTAGTAGAGACAATTCAGTCTCTACTACATAAGAGGTAGAAACCTATTACCAAATTCATCAACAAGTTCATTTACTAAACTTAATTTTTATTTACAAGCAAGTGTTTTTACTTTAATTGATTCCTCCTACAACGAGGGATGGGATAATTTTGATATTTTAGCTTAGTGGAAAGGACATGAAAAAAACTATCTAGTCCTTGCCACCATGGTACGTGATATACTAATCCGTGTGATGTCTACAGTTCCATTGGAGTCTTGTTTTAGTGCAGGTATTAGGGTACTGAACAATAAGAGAACCTATATGAATGATGAAAGTCTAGAGATGTGCATCTACTTTAAAGATTGATTGGATGCTAAAGACAAATTACAAGATAAAGGAAGGCATGACATTACACCTAATGTTTCACCTAAAGTAGATGATGACAATATTTTTATGAATATGCAGGTAGATATGATTATATGAATATGCAGGCAGAGGTGGAACTTGAAGAAAAATGATGAAGTCAATATTTTTTATTCTTTTATATACTCAATATTTCATTATTTCAATTATTGCAATTTTTCAATTTTTTAAATTATTGTAATTTTTTTCAATTTTATTTATATTAGTTCTTATTTTTTCAACAATGTAATTTTTTGTTTTCAATTTATAATTGTATTATATTTTTTTATATTTTATTCCCTTTTCTCTATTTCATTCATCCATTGTCCGTTGACCATTGTATTGTTCAAATTCAAGAAATAAAATTCCTGTTTTTTTTCAATTTGTTGTCTATTTTGTATTTTGTTAAGTATTTAAGTATTTTTTTAATTTCTTTGTTAGATTTTTTATTTTTCTAATTTGTTCCCAAAGCTCAAAGGAATTATTGAATTAAGTAAAGTATTTTAGCAAAAAATAAAAAGCAAAATGTCAAAAAAAAAAACAATTTGGCCCGGTTCGGCCCAAACCGTAGCCCAACCTGACATGGGCCAGGCCCACTATACGGCCCACAACCCACCTGGGCCGGTCTAGCCTGCACTTTGCACGGGCCGCACACGGGCCATGTTGGGCTGACCTGATTTACACCTCTAAATTTGGGTGAACTATGTTGATTCAAATCAAAACTAATTTTAATTAATAAATAATAGAAAATTAATACATTAATTATAAATTATTTCAATCAAATGAAAAAATTAAAAAAAATGGATAAGGAATTTGCACTTGTACCATTAGTGGTTAACTCAATAATTATTCATAACTCAACCCGATAATTATTCATAACTCAACCCGACCCAACCCATTTAAATTGACCTAATGGGTGATTAACCCATTTCCAGCCCGCCAAGTAAATGGGCATGTTGGCTGGATTTGATAATTAGGTGAATGATTTACTTGAATTTTAATGAAGGGACAATGAGGAAATGGCTAGTTAATGGGGTCCCACTATGATATGGAAAACATATTGTATAGAAAATCCCTTATAATGCCATGTTTGCAGCAATTACCGAATTTAATTAAATTTTAAAATATTCAAAAAAAATATGAATTTTATATTATAATTAAATTTTAATTATTTTATATTATAATTAAATTTTAAAATATTCAAAAAAAATATGAATTTTTTTTTTCCAATTCCTCCCCGTCAGTGAAATAGTTATACCCCTCAATGCAATTCGAAACAAGAGAATCCATCCACCAAAGCTTTCTCTCTTTCAGTCATGGCGATCAATGCCAAGCTTCCTTTGTGTTTCTTCCTCCTCTCTCTCTCTTCCTTTTGTTGGTAGCTTTGTCACTAGCTTACCCACTGAAACCCCAAAGAGATAACAAGCAAAGAGAAGGCAGCCGAGAGGAGGAGCAGCAACAGGAGCAACATAAGAGTAACCCCTAGTTCTTCGACGAGCAGAGATTCAGCTCTCGATTCAAGATTCTGAGTGGTCTAGATAACTACCGCTTGGCTATCCTGGAAGCCAAACCTAACACTTTCCTGATCCCCCACCACTGGGATGCAGATGTTGTTGTCATCATTGTTAAGGGGAAGGCAACAATCAACTTGGTGCGCAATGATAACAGGGAATCCTACAATCTTGAGTGTGGAGATATAGCTAGGATTCCTGCTGGACCGATGATCTACTTGGTGAACAGAGACGACAACGAAAACCTCCAAATAGTCACACTCTTCAGGACCATCTCAACTCCTGGCCACGTCTCAAAATTCTTCAGCGCCAGCAGCGAAGATGGGGAATCATTCTACACTGCATTTAGCAATGAAATCCTGGAAGCCGCTCTAAATACTCCAAAAGACAAGAGGATGTTGGGAGAGAAAAGGAAGGGAGTGATGAGGGAGGCGTCAAAGGAGCAGATTAAGGCCATGAGCGAGCAGGCTTCTTCATCATCAAAGGGCGGGCGATGGTGGAGCATACACAAAAGTGAGACGAGGGGCCCGCTCAACCTGTTGAAGAAGCCCCATCTATTCTAACAGCTATGGACAACTCTACGATAGGGCTGCAAGTCGGGCCAGGTTAGGTCGAGTTGAGGCCAATCCTAGCCCAACCTGATGTTCTAAACTCCCAACCCGACCTATTCAACCCTAACCCTAACCCTAACTAATTCCTTCAACCCTAACCCAATCCGATGTCAACTTCAGGTTGGGTTGGGCTCGGGTTGGGCCCAATCCAACCTTCCCATCCCTTAAAATCTAGTAGAAAAATAAGTATTTATTTATCATGAGTTATGACATGATAGAATTTTTCTAAAAAATATAAATTTATGAAATCAACAATAATGAAACATAAAATTATGGAAATAAAATAATTAATAACAATTCATAGGATCAAATAAATAATTTAAATCTATTTGATAGGTCACACATAAAAATTACAAGACAAGGAAAAGACAAGTAGTCAAGTACATGTGAATAACTTAAAGAAAGGCATGATAATATGTAGGGGGGCTACTAGTAGACTATAGGGTCTTGGGTCGGGTTGCCCGAGGGGTTAACCCTAACCCAACCCGAACTAAGGTCGGGTTCAAGAATTTCAACCCTAACCTGATCATCAACCCGGCCCAACCCAACCTGACTTTTCCGGGTTGGGTTCGGTCCCGGCCCAACCCAAGTTGCAGCCCTATTCTACGAGGCCCAACCCAACGACTACCAGCATCTCAAGGACCTCGACGTCTCCGTCATATTTAGCAACATCAGCCAAGGAGCCGGAGCAATGCTAGCTCCCTTGTACAACACGAGGTCGACCAGGATAGCTTTTGTAGTGAAAGGGAGTGGATGATGGGAGATGGCGTGCCCACACATCTCCAGTCAGAACCAGAGAGGAAGAGAAGGAGAAGGTGATGAGGTATATAGTATGAGAAGGCCAGTTCTCGTGTGTCTTCAAATACAGGTTTCATAATTCCACTAGGGCATGTGTTCACCGTCGTTGCTTCCGAGAAAGAGAATCTGCAGATAATTGTATTCAGGATAAACACCCAGGATAACAAGAGGAACTTCACCGCTAGGAAAGAACACAACGTGAGGAAACAGATGGACAAGGAGCCGAAGGAGCTGGCTTTTTTTTAGATAAACTGTAATTTGTAGGATGTAGGAGATAGACCTACTACTATTGCTGCTGCTACTTAGTACGTACTAGAGTGAGTAAACATCAATTGTGATCCTTTTTGTAGAAAGAAAACAAATGAGCGAGAGCTTCTGCTTTCTAGTTTTGCTCACCACCTATGAAATAATAATGAAATGAAGGCTCTTTTTGGTAGTTCAAAAAAAATTGAAACAGGAGAAGAACTCTGTTCGAAAATCGACGACTTCTCAGTTTTTCTGTTCGAAAACAACGACTGTCTTCTTCCCCGTGCTCCTCCATTTGTCGTCCGGTAGATTATTCCCCACCGTCTTTTTCCTCATCCTCATGCTCAAAAAAAGAACTCTGTTCAAAAATCGATGACTTCTCAGTTCTTCCGTTCGAAAACGACTGTCTTCTTCCCCATGCTCCTCCATTCATCGTCCAGTAGATTGTTCTCCACCGTCATAAAATTATTACCGCTATACCCCTGAACGCAACAACAGGAGAAGAAGAACTCTGTTCGAAAATCGACACCTCTATTCCTCCGTTTGAAAACGACGATAGTCTTCTTCCCTGTGCTCCTCCATTAGCCATCCAGTAGATTGCTCCCTGCCATCTTCTTCCTCGTGCTCAAAAAAAGGAAAAATAAATTCTGTTCGAAAAGGACGACTTCTCTGTTGCTCCCGACTGTCTTCTTCCCCGTGCTCCTTCATTCGCCATCCGGTAGACGACTTCTCTTGCTCCTGACCGTCTTTATTTGTCAGAGGCCCCCTGTACTAGCCATCCAAGGCAGCCGTTCTTCACCTTCAGAAGTGAGCTATTCCGGTCATCGTGCACCCCCATCTGCTAGAGCGGCTTCCGGGTGACGTTTAACAGTGAAGACGTTAACGTCTTTCTTTTTTAAAATACAATTTAAATGGTTGTTTTTAAAGCCGATTACGTATAATAACCCCCGTATCATCAAAACAGAGAAGGCGAATGTTGATTGGTCCATCTCATCCGTTACGATATAGAAAAGATACTTTTTCCATATCATAGATTTTCTCTTTATTCATAACCAATTAACACAACCTTTTTAATTGACGCAATGGGTGATTCAACCGACTGCCCACGAGCACTCTGCCCACGCTACCCACAATACATTTCCCCCGTCAATTGGGAACATCTCCCCCCATAATTCTATGCAAAGGATGAGATGTTCTCCATTTATGACCGCGAAAAACGTGAGCAGAGTTCTCGTGGATCCGGATTTGATTCAACCCATTTCCAATCCGATAAATAAACGGTGAAATGCAAAGATCTTTGAAATCGTATGTTTTATTGGATAGGCTTTAAAATGAACGGTTCCGATCTACGACGCTGCCATTAGTCATTACTGATTCAAAATCACGTGTTACTCAGTAGTCAGTTCTCATTAGTCGTTACTGATTTCTCAAAGCTCAGTGTCAGGTGATAACATGCAATCATTGCTCGATGCTTAACCATGTGGTGACTGGTGAGGTGAAAGCGAAACTGTGGATGAGGGACCGGAGTAGGATAGGGCGTGTGATAAATAGCACACGAACTCCAGAATCCAGATATTGAATGGAAACATTCCATACTCAAAAGACAGTTGGCGGTTTCAACGCTAACCATCGCAACGGCAGTCCCTAGGCCTGGCCTTCTGCAAGCCTTCAAATCCAACCCACTTTCGCCTTCAGAACAATATCTCCTTCTTCATCTCGATTCTCGAGTGGAGAATCAAAGGTCTCTCTGGAGTCAGAATCTGCAATTAAAAGGCGGATTTTGGATGCGGGTCTTGGCCGTCTAGCAGCCTCAATGGTGTTTTCTGTGCCATTGGATGCTAATGCAACCAGGATTGAGTACTACTACACTGTTTCTGAACCGTGCTGTGAGCTCAGCTTCGCGCCGTCTGGACTTGGTTTCTGCGGCGTTGCTGTAGGAACTGGACCCGTGGCTCCTCTCGGAGAGCTTCTCAATGTGAGTTAGGAACTAACATAGGTGATTCTGCTCTCTTCGTTGCATTTTTTTCTCTTTATTTACTCAATACTTTGTTATGGGAACTTGAGATGCCGCTTGTGTTGTGTTTCGGTGCTAGTTCAGTTGCTCCAAATTGATAGTTTTGAGGTTTGTTGTACCTGTCAACTTTTCTTTGGCTTTTTCTAATGCATGATATATATCCTTGTTACTTTTTGGTTGAGGTGGGCAAATGAATTACAAACAGGAGTTAAATGTTCAAGGATAAAATTAATAGAACTCTTCAGTATCAGCTGAAAATTATAAGACATATGACATTTGAAGTTTTGTGACGGTATTATTTGGCAATGGGAAGTTTCAACTGAAAATTTAGATTTACAAATTAAATTAGAACATTCTATTGGAATTTCAGCTGCGTACCAAATGCTTTTGTTTTTTGCTAGTTAGGTATTTGGTGTTTGGAGGTTCTCATTCATTATTTCTTAAGCTTGAACCATTCTTTACGCAATATCTCAGTGACAAAACTGGTTCTTGGATATAAATTGATATACAAAATTTAATTCAGCATTTTCTCTTATCTTATAGAGATCTAAACAGAGATGTTACTTGATTTTGGAGTCCAAGGCTTAGAGTGTGTGTAAGTGAACATATTCTCTGGGCTCAGGGGTTTGGGGTTGTTGCTCCTAATTAATAGTTAATGTGTTTGCAATTTGCACCTATGGCCAGGCAGTTAAGCTTATTTTGTAGGAGTTTGAATCTTTACCATATTAGGATGTTGTGAGGTTATTAAGTTTCAGATGGTGGGAACCTCATGTTCTTTGTCTGTTTTACTTGAACGACCATTGTACTGTGTTTGATATCATTAGTATTTAAGATTATGGATTGGAGTTCAAAATTTTGATAATCCCAATATTTTCAATTTTATTTCTTTTTCAAAATTTGATGATTGGGCATATTATTATATGCTTTAACTTTTAATGATTAAAACAATAATTTCTTAAAAAAACACCTTTAAATAGGTGTATTGGTATTGAAAAGATAAGATATTATATACCCCATACCGGGCATATTTTATCAAAATTTCCAACCTTGGATGTCCATTATAGGTGTTTTGTCAGTTTAGTTCTAATCCACCACAGACTTATAAATGCATACATCAACTAGTCATGGGAGCTAAATTGCAGAGTTATTGGACAACAATATCGCCTATAGGCCTGTCAGAGTTGCAGACAACCACAACACTGTCAACACACTACCACTTAGAATTTCCTGCAATTTTAATCCCTGCTTCAAATTTTGAATCTTGGGTCAGAGTCGCCAGACTCCAAGAAGCATTTCCTTAATCAAAACTTCTGAATACCATGAAGCCATTTACAAGTCAATTAGAGAACTCTATCTACAATGTGATTCAACCAGATACCTGGATGAAAGTTGACTAGAATCCTAGGATGACTATCCATTTGAAGCCTTTTTCTTGCATGAAGTGGCTTGTCACAACATTATTACAGGAGATTACTATATAATATAGGTTGTACTTCCTTGAGAACCTCACTGATTATTTTATTTATTTCCTTATTGAACCTTCTCGACAGTATCTTTGTTTATCCTAATGCTTTTAACTATAGCATCTTGTTTGTTGAGCCAACAGTAAATTCTACTGCCATCTTTTTCAAAACTCCTTGCTGGTGCCTTTAATTCTCAAGAGTTTTTCACATAAAGATATAGCTTGTTCAATTCAGAACTAGAAGTTTTTCAGAGTTCATGGGGAAGATATTGTTGTGGTTATTCTCAGGTCCAATTACTATGATAAAGAGAAGAATTTCACCCAACTTCAAGGTCTAACTGTCTAAATCCAATGTTATCCTTTGAAATCCAACAACATAGAGGGCAAATCTCAGATCATCTTTGATCAGATGCATTCCAGTTCTAACAGGTCTAGGATTACATATTATCACATCAGAAAAGTAACAGCCTTGGGTTCTAGAGTGAACATCTCATTTCCCAAAACAGCATACTCAATAGCTGGTAGTCTTGCTAGGGGAGCAAGACTACCAGGTCATCTTTGATCAGATGCATTCCAGTTCTAACAGGTCTAGGATTACATATTATCACATCAGAAAAGTAACAGCCTTGGGTTCTAGAGTGAACATCTCATTTCCCAAAACAGCATACTCAATAGCTAGTAGTCTTGCTAGGGGAGCGGTGCAAGTTGTGTGGGATAAAATCCAGCCAATTAAAAGTGTAAGGACTAAACGTATGATATTAATCTGTCCAGCCAATTATTTGTGCTGGGTTCTAGAAGTATTGCAGTAGTAGTGGTATTTTGAGAAATAAAAGGCATGTATTTATTCTAGGTAATAATATGGTTGAATGCACAGATTAGGATGAGGTTTTATCCAAATGCTAGGCTGCAATCATGTATAGCTGGGAATCTCCTCTCCAGACTCTTAGGATGGCTTGGACAAGGGAATTCCTGCATCAGGAATTGGTTGGAGTTAGTAGTTTATCTTGGAGTGTATCTCTTCCAGGGCAATTTAGTTTGATTATTGGGTGCCTTTTCTGCTTCACTTTTCTTTGCTGCTTCTTTGAGGTTCAGTGTCATCTACCTGTTGCCCTAGGGGTGGAAGCTTGTACTTTTCTTCTAATTTTCTTTGCTGATAAAAAAGTAACTAATTTAGCATATGGATGGTAAATGGGAACCAAATTGATTCTATTCTGTGTTTTGCTTAACAGATTCACTACACTGCAAGGTTTGCAGATGGGACTGTCTTTGACAGTAATTATAAAAGTGCAAGATAATTCAACAAAAACATTTGAGATTATGATGTACATTGTTCAAGAGCTTCAATGAAAATGTGATAACACAAAGAAAAGAACTTTCAGATTTATTCAAAGGTTTCCTTACAATACAACATCTCTAGTCATCTTATATGCTTCAAAATCTAAATCACTTGGAAATCATCTATTTAACACCTAGGCTCCTGCTTTAACACAACTTTCCTATATTTCAAAACTTTCAAGAACTAAGGTGCTTTAGCACAGCCTTCTTATTTGTAACTAAGAAAGAAATCTTCAAATGCCTATTCTAACCAGTATACAACATACTTGTTGTCTGATTCAATTTATACAAAGCTCATCTAAACTACAAAACAAAGTAGAACTCGATTACGATAATCCTAAAACAGTTGTACTAAATTCCTAGCCAACTCTTGGACTTAACAAAATTACATAAAACCATGGTTTACCATAAAATATAAATTTGAAATTTAGTATACATTGTAAAATCATCAAAAGTCCACAACTTATTGTACATAATAAAATAATTGCAAAAATAAGAAAATTTGAATCACATTCCACCAATCTTCATATGGATCCACCTTGTGACATCAAATTGGACATCTATTTAAGGACACAAAAATCTTACATCTAATCAGCTTTGCTAATATTTTCACTTAAGTTATTTTAGATCCCCTCTTACCAAATATGAATAAAATACACAGTGGAGCTGCTATTATGAGGGTATTTACAAATATTGATATTCCCAATTATATATATTGCATAGGTGACTGCAACATACCTGCCAATGCAACGCTTGTTTATGATATTAATTTGATTGCACTTTACAAGTAAAACACCAACTCAAGGAAGAACAGGTTACATGAAACCAAGTAGAATAGAAAGGCCATGACAAATATTTACTGGTGAGCTTCTTTCCTGCCCAATTGATCTATCCTGCAAATGATTCTTCATAATTTTGTAAGAGGAAATCCAGCTAACTACTGGATTGGCATACAAGGTCCTTTTTGATTCTCATGGTGAGAACACTGTATGCAATGGATCCTGTAAATGATCCTAACAGCCAACCTTTCATCATTGTTCACATTTTAACATTGAATAGATAATGTGCCCTTTGAGGAAGACTGATAGAATGGATAGTTTGCTGAGTCATTTGATTGAACCCATGGCTTAGTTTGGAAGGAGTACAAATACAAATATGTAGAATGCAAAACTTTGTACTTCATATTATTTTGTATGTATTTGTACTGTACATATTTGTATTTGTACTCCTCCCAAACTGAGCCTATGTGAAGCAAGACAACAAGGAAGTTGAGATTTTTTCTGAGTAAAACCCAAAAAGCATTAAAAGTTCAGGTGCTAAAGGGTTGTGACTTTGATCAAGCAGGATCTGGTTCTAGAACATTCTCTCTGTAAAAGCATTCATTCTCTTTTAGAAGTATTTTATTCTCAATGTTATGGATCCATAACCTAGTTCACATGGAACTACTAAAGTTTTATTTGTACACTGCAATCAAGCACATTAGCAATAGTTAAAAGGTTACATTCTTTAGGTATTAGTGCTTTGTAAAGTGTTTGCTTTCGGTCCCAATCAACACGCGTTTCAAGTGAGTCAACTAGGTAGGCCGTGGGAAGTAATATTCATATTCCGTAATTTAATTGAATGACAACTAATGGAAACATGATACAGATCCTCCTTTTCTTTTTTATGGTAACGGATGCACATCTGCTAATGCAAATCACATCATTAATGGATGCATCATCTGGTCAGGCTTTTGTATTTGATGGTTCACCACATTCAAGCCAACCTTTTTTTTTCTTTTGATAAGAAGGGAAATGGAGAATAATTCTGAAGGAAAATCTTCAACTACTCTCCCAGGGGGGTCTAGTTTGTCCTGAAAGACTTTGTTGCATCTATTTTTCCAAATGAACCACAATAAGAAACAGAGCTTCTCCTTCTCCCATATTATGGGATCCTTATTTGCACTTGAGTTTCCCTCAATTCGAAGCCACCATTGGGTAAGGGATTGATACCGAACAAATTTAACCCCCTATAAATTTTGATGAATACCATCTGATTAATTATCAATTTTTTAGATACCATAGTCAGAAGCAAAATACTAGTTTAGTTCATGGAGGATTTGGTGTTATGGTACCTCTACTGCAAAGATGCAAGCAGAGTAGTTTAAGCCTTTGGGCTATGTTTGGTTTGAAGGAAAAGGTAGAGAAGGAGGGGAAAGACAAGAAAACCTATACAAGGTTTGTAAAGGTTTTCTACCATTCCCTTTTCATGCATTTTTCTTCAAACCAAACATAACCTTAAGGCGCATCACTGCACGTAAACTCATTCAGTATAAAGCAAAAATTGTAGAGAATATTGTACCATCCTGATTTTCATACTGGCATACCTTACTCATGTTTTTGGTGAGACCCAAGTACCTAGCAAACTAACGAAAATTCCTGGACCAGACACCTTTTGTCATGAGGAAGTCTCAGACAGCCCAGGGCCAGGGGTCTGTCTAGTCTAGGAAGCCACCATACAGACAGCTAGCTATCTCTGGCAGGCAAAGGTGGGGATCTGATGGGTCCCATCTAAAGGTAGCACATAAAATCAAATCAACGTTGGGATCATCTGATTGCAACTTCAAATTTGGGTTTTCCCAAAACTGCTGGCTCTCATCACATGGTTAAAAAAGCATCTGATCGTGATCAACAATGGATCCAGAATGTGTAAACATGACAAGTGGCAAGTGGGTACTGGTTCGGACCCAAGAAGCTTTTCTGCTATTTGGTTAAGGTTGTAGTTATCCACTTGAATTGCATAATGTATATTTTCCCTCAACATACTTGTAAGCTATCTGCTAGTGGACCCCTAACATCCAGAAAAATTGACCTATTTTTTTATATGTTTAAAGCCAAAAAGACATAAATATCCTCAATTATTTCATCCACAGAACACAGTGATGTCACTCGATTGAAATTATTTCAGTGATTAATTTGTAAGATGAAAAGGCCATTAAAACATAAAGCACTAGTGAATAGGAAAAGATAGAATTCAAAGCGCTAATAATATAGTGCAACTGGGCAAAACACAATCTCTTTTTGGTGGGAAATAACACATGTTTTGTTTGTTGATGAAACACCCTTTGTCAGGGAGCAATCTTTATCTTCTTCAAGTTGTTAATTATGGCCTCAAATTTGAAATTGAATCATAACCCCTTGGGATACTTAAAAAGGATCCCTCTTCATTTGTTAGGAAGTATGAGTACGTAAGATTAAAGGATCCCTCTTCATTTGTTTTTATAATTTTTCCTCTTCAACGTATGCTCCAAGAAATTTCTTTTCTTTGTTCCCTCTTCCATTGTCCTCCTATTCTTTACGTTTTGTACTGATTTATGTGGAACTTTGATTTTCCCTTACTACTGGGTTTAGGCCTTTAGGGTAATATTGCAGTCAAATCAATATGAATTTGTCACAGTTTCCTGCTTTTGGGGATTCGTTTTAGTTCAAGGAAAAAAAAAAACTTTTCTTGTTCTGTATGGGGTTCCAATTAAGACCCTGCAAATCGATGATCAGTATGAACTAACCACTTTGTTTAATATAGAATTTGGTAGCCTCACTGGCTGCTAATCTGCTTGTTAACTTTCACCCTTTAATTGTAGTTCTTTTGTTTTTCTTTTCATTCATTGGGAAACAATGTATGGACAAGATACGGGTATAGACAAGAGAATCCCCACCAAACAGAAAAGAGATATTATAACATCATGCATGAGAAGAGGACAATCACCAGTGGAAAAAAAGAAAGTAGGAACGTAAAAGCAGAGATGGCAGCTGTCTCTTAACAAATAACAACCTATATACACTATTTTCTCTATACCAAGGAGCTTTCTAGAGCACCAACCAGGTCCACGACAGGCGCTCCAGAGACCCCACTCAACAACACCAAGGCCCCTCCCTTATCACTCTAGTTAATATTCTCATACAACTCCATGAAGAAAAGCTCAGGTTGGATTTTTACAGTGATGGGTAGGGAAATGCTTCAGAGTTCAGATGTGGTAGAGCAACCTCAACCTCTCTATTTCTTTTCTTTTCTCTGCTGCATCTACATGATAGAGCAAGCATTTGGGTTTTCATCACTAAACATTGAGGTGTACCTCTCTTCTTGTGTGTGAACGGTAGCTGTAGCAGTAATGGTCTCAACATTCCTGACATAGCCAGGAGGTGCCTTCTTGTCATAAGCCTGAGCAGTGTAAGGATGAGCGACAAGGTTGTAAGGAACATAAGGCCAAATCTCAGCCTTTTTTCCTGTCGACTGAGCCTTCTTCAATACTTTCTTTTCATCCACATAACCAGTTACAGTCACCTTCTGCTGTTTCATGTTCATATCCACAGACTTAACCCCTGAAAAAGGCAAGAGTGTCATCTCAACCCCATGAACCATCATAGAACAATCATATCCAGAGAGAAAGAAAGAAGAGAAAGTGAAAGCAGCAATTACCTTTCAGTGAAGAGAGGGCTTTTCTGACTTTGAGTTCACAACCCTCACAGTCCATCCTGACCTTAAGCTCCACAGTCTGCAACTGCTTCTTTTTCTTGTGTTTATGGCCACTGCTCATTAAACCAGAGAAATATTCCAAAGTGCCTCCAACTCCCATGTTTAAGACAGAAGCTTCGGGATAAACCCGAGATTTGATGGATTTAGATAGACGGAAAGAAAACCCAAGTCAAGTAGTTCAACAGAAATGCAGAAAAGGACCTTAATGGACTCCTTTAGTTTTAATTGAACATGAAGAAAATGCAGAAGAAAGGATGATAGATAGGTTAAAAGGGATAAAAGATACTCCAGATATCTTGATTACTTTGATGGATTTTTGGGAACCAATAGGTTGGGACTTGAGAATGGCTGTTACTGATGAGCAGGTTGTGAAGGAGAGTTTAAAAGAGATGATGGGTGAGAGAAGAATCAGCAGCAGCAGATGGGCTTCTGAAAAAAATCTGAGACAGATTTATATACAACCCTGGATATAGGCTTTCCTAGAAAGTGCAGGAAGCTTCCTTGTAAAACTATGGATTCCTTCCTTGCCTTGGAGCAAAAAAGGCTCTCTGAAGGCTGCTCTTGAAACCCTTTACTTCCTTCGAATCCTTCTTTACACAGAACCCCTCCTTATATAGGCCTTTCAACAGGTTAAAAAGTAGGGAAAAGGTGGGGTGGTGACCCCTTGAAAAGCAATAAAAAAAAGAGGGAGGAAAGCCAAGGAGGAAACCAGATTTTTTCTAGGAGAGACCTTGGTCTCAAAACACAGAAAAAAATATGAAGTTGTGCTTTCTTGTGCCACTGAGAAAATTTTAAAACTTTGGGTGCACGAAAGCTGTCTATAACTTGGTCTAACAGTAAATTTTGAGAGCATGCCCCTTTGAAATAGACATGTTGAAAGTTGATGCAGATGTTGTGGTCGATTCTTCACTCTTTTAAGTTAATCAAAAGAAAATGGGGTGAACAGTGAGCTGGATTTTCATGGCACATCGCTAATTAGTTGCCACGTTTCACTTGATCTTGAAGCCTAGTGGCAAGGGAGCTGCCATTGGATGTTAAGACGATTGACTGGGGCTGCCGTTGGGTGCCTGGAGCTGTTAGCTTATAACTTGTGTGTTGTTTTGACTCCTGAAAAAGGAGCCCATGAAATCAAATTTAAAGCCACAAGCGCGTCTGGTTGCCTGTAACTACATACAGGTGGCGCAACGCTTGTGGGTCATTCAATTCCAATTCAAAATTTTAAAATTCTGGACCTACCATAACGTTGAGACTTCAGACTTTCCTCTATATGTTCCTTCGCAATCAAAGGAACAATAATTAGTGAACAGGTTTTTTCAAATAAAAGAGAGAGAGGGAGATTAGGCCATTAGGGGAGTGACATACAAAAAGAAATCTAGAAAGCTTAGTGCTGGAAAAAGGACTTCTGGTCTTCGTATTGGCATCATCACACTTAATTTGTTGATTATAACTATATCAACAACAATTGTAAAGGAATATCTCATTGATTGCTTTACTTTGTCAAGAATCAAGATTCTCAATGGAATTGCATCCTTAAGTAACGTTTGGGGTTTTGTTATAATATAGTAGAAGGCATACTTATTTTTGGCACCCCCCACCTGTTTATGTCTGGGCTATGTAGATAAAAGCAGAGGCCCAGCTCAGTTGGAAGCCTATCTCCATAACCATAAATCCATAATTGAGGCCCAGCTCCTATCTCTTGTGTTCCTTTTGTTATTAATATGAGATTCTGTATTAATAAGCCCCCTACTTTGTTCCTATGTCGGGTGGTGCTCAAAATACTGTTTTAATCAATGTTTTAAAAATCTACCCAGAATCGGAACTGTTTTGGCCATTAGTTTCCAGGTCAGCAGTTTGTTCGGTTTTAACGGATAGTCAAACGGATTGATGGTTGAATCATCTGAGTCAGCAAACCGTTAATCAAGTCAATAGTTTTTGGCCAAGGAACGGGTTAAGGGTGAAATGGAAACCGATTGATTGGATGGTTTACTGGCTAAACGGTCCAACCATCTAAGTCAATGATGCTCTGAAAAGTGAAAAGCATGATTTTAATTTTGGGTAAATTGCTGAAACCTCCCCTTAAGTTTCTAGTTGTTGCTGAAACCTCTCCTTAAGTTTCTGGTTGTTGCTGAAACCATTCCTGCGGTTTGATAATTACAATCAGCTCCCCTAAACTTTCTGACATAGCTGCAGTTCCTTTTGATCAAAAAGTTTATTTTTCAAATTTTCTCTTCATATGAATGGTTAGTTCAAACATGTTCAAACTCTTTTCTGAAATTGATTTATTTTTCAAATTTACCTTTCGGCTCAGTTTGGAAGGAGTACAAAGTGTCCGTTTGGCATCAATGTCGCTGCTCCAGAAAACAGTGACACATCAGTGCTACGTTGGAAAAAAACGGTCCTTCAGGAAATGCCTGTTTGTTTGGAACCATTCTTCCATAAAAAATTGATGCTCCAAGCCACATCTTGGAAATCGAGAAGGCGTGGCTTGGAGAAACGCCGAATTTGGCATTTCTTGGAGCTGCAACTCATTACTGCCAACAGGGATATGAGGTGGCAGTGATAGGAACATGATGTGGCACTGGATAATAGGTACCAATGCTGAAAATGTTTCCTGGAGCATTGGTGCCAAACAAAAAATATTGTTGTTGCTCCAGGAAACATCCTACCTGACAGCAACGTTTCTAAACAAAAAAAGACATTGTTTTCTCAGAAAAACGGTGCTTCTAACCCACACATCAGTAGTTTACAGCATCAATGTCAAACATATACAAATACAAATATGTACAGTACAAATTCATACAAAATGTAAAGTTTTGCACTATATATTTATATTTGTACTCCTTCCAAACTGAGCCTTCGTATCAATTGCTGGGTAAAGTTGTGACTTAAAATTCTCTTTTTTATTATTTATAAAGCTTTCTTTGTTTTTTTTTTTACTCTATAAAAACTAACCTCATTACTCATTAGTAATTGTATGGATATTTTGTACATTTTGGGGTTCTTGTTAAAGGATTTTGGCAAAAAAAGTTTAATTTATATTGTTTTTCTGTAAAAATCAGCCTCAATAATAATTATATGGGTATTTTGAAAATTTTGATATTTCTTATTAGAAAGGGTCTACTTGCAATTATATAAAAAAATCAGGAGATGTGATTATTATGATCATAAAAAATTCAGGGGAGATTCAAAAAACTCCAGCAATTTACCCTTCCAATTTTAAGGACCGACTCACTTCTGCAGCAGTGACCACGGTGGCAGCATTTTCCTTGCGAGTTGCGGCCCCCTAGTCTATATTTGGTTTGAAAGAAACGGTAGGGAAAGGTAAGAAAATTTATACATGGTTTATAATGGTTTTCCTACCTTTTCTTTCTTTTTCCTATCTTTTCTTTCAAACCAAATAAAGCGCTAATGACTAATATAATACGGAAATGTCAGTACATGGCGTGGCATCCTTGTTGGTCTACCGTACCCGGTACAGCCCGTCCGAAGTCCGGAGTCCGGAGTCCGGACGAGTAAAATTCACTTATCTGCCGGCTGCCTCCTCTCTATAGTCTCTCCCTCCCTCACTCCCTCTGTTGAATCCGATTCATTTTGTACATGCATGTGCCCGTGTACGTAGCTTTTTCTTTTCTTCATCATTCTTTTTCCTTTTCTTCATTCAATCAACAGAGAAGACAAAAACGAATACTTGAAGAGTATGACACGTGTCCTCCTTTGTGAAGAATTTCCTGACACCTGTCCACCACATTTATTTCCCCGTTTCTGTTTACTAATATAGATTGATTAATGAATGTTTGTAGAATGGAAGTGTTGATTAAAAGCAATGAAGAACTTTGCTCCTGAAAAGGAAAAAGGAAGGTATTATTTGGAAACGGTTGAAAATTGAAATGGGCGGGAGAGACAAATTAAGCCAATAATAAAGAGGATCAATCACCTTATCTGGGTGATTATATATATAGTTGTGACTTGTGAGTGGTGGGTTTGGCTCAATAGTTTGTACTTGTAAACAAGTAATCTATATCTACATTTCGCCCAACTCCCTTTTCTTTTGGTTTCTTTTGACATTACTTTTAATTTGCTAGGCTACTGTACTACAAAGTTGTCTTTAATTGCTTTCATTCCTTAGCAGGTAAAAAGAAAAAAGAAGGTTCTGTTGATTGATTGATGAGTTGCCTCTGCCCTCTACTGGTGTGAATTGTGGACTGTGGAGTGGTCCATCCATTTCACCTTTATCCACTTTTTAGATTTCTTTCAGTTCCCATACAGCTAATTATATCCCACCAGGTTCCTCCTGGTCTGAATTATTAGGATGATGTTTGATTTTATGGGTATTTATTTAAAAAAAAAAGATATTAATTTAATTGTTATATAACCATTTATTCTAAAATGCTATTTAGTAATATATATATATATATATATATTAAACAAATTTGTGTGAAAGCTAATGGTTAGAGAAAATTTTATTTATTTTTTTATATTTTCCTAGCACACCGATGTTTATTTACTGTTGAGCTTATATAATGTTTCTTCAATAAATTGCTTACAATATCAAACAAATTTTAGGTCGTTGGAGCCACCCGATTAACAATGATCGCCATACACTGTATAAAGTAAAGACCGACAAAAATCAAAAATACCTATTCAAACCCGAAAAAAAGGAAAGCAAAGAACCAGACTGGCACTGCTAAGTAAACCTTACCTACTTCCTAGTTCCTGTAGCCCACAGAATAAATAATAAAGTAAAAAAAAAAAAGAGAAAGAAAAGTTGAAAAAGACGTGAAATGAAACTGCCTTTAAATCACTGTTTTTAAAATCGGACCGGATCGGACGGTTGGACCTGAAAAACCGGGCCTGTTTGGTTCCGTTTTTTTCCTCAAAATCGTTGATTTTGGCTAGCAAACCGCTGAACTGGCTGGTTAATCATTCGAACAGTTTTGACCGCTTTCCAATTTTTATTTTTTAAACTTTTTTTATTTTTTGTCAGAATGGGCCGACCGTTCGGGTCGAACAGTCAGACCGTTCGAACCGGTAACCAGACCCCTGACCGGTTCGGTCACTGGTTCATTTTTAAAAACCATGCTTTAAATTGGTATTTGGTAACACGACCAGTCACAGTGTGGTGACTGGTGACTGGTGAGTGTTTGTTTGTGTCCATTCCGGGGTCTTGCTTTGTTTTGGTATACTTCGGATCTCCTGCCCATGATAATTCTTTCTACTTCTACCCACAACACACTACTCCCGTAAATTGGAAAATCTCTCCTTACATAAAACTATGTAAGAGGATGAGATGTTCTTTATGTGTGGCTGTGATATTATATGGGTAGACATAGGCAAAATTTGTATGGACAGGAGATCCGAACTCATTTTGGTAGCTCTACTACCTGAGTCTGGATCACCTGCCAACAAATTAAAACACGTTTCAATCCTCTACCAACACAAGATCTCATACCGCACTATGAGGATCTCAAACATGATGGGTCCCATCTAATGATGTGCGGTGTTAGATGAAGTTGGCAGAGGGTTGGAACTGTTTTGTTGGCAAAAGATCTCTCAACTCTCTACTTCCATTTGAGTTTGACATTGACGGGCGTTGATTCCACTTCCATTACTAACAACTACACATTGGCATTTGGGTTCTTTTTGCTAGCTTTTCCCTGGCAGATTTCACAAGGATCCGGCCCATCCGAGTCCCAGGTTCCTGTCTCCTTTCATCCTTCTGATATTTGCCTTGGTTTTACGTCCATGCCATAAAACTTAATAAATGATATCTTTATAATGTTTATATTTGTAAAAGTGGTTGTTCAAATAATTCTGTCTTTAAATTTAATCAATGAACAAGTATTACAAGAAAAAATATATTTCAAAATTCAAATTTTCTTTTTATTATATATTAGTAATTAAGTACATGCATTGCATGTGAGAAATTTTTCTTCATATTAATTATTTGAATTTTAAATAAAAAATAGTAAAAATGATAATATGATTAAAAATAAACTTAAATGCTTGTAGTAAATGTGCATGTGCATTGTGCATGGAAATTTTAAATTACAATAACAATTATTATTATTATTATTATTACTATTATTATTATTATTATTATTATTATTATTATTATTATTATTATTATTATTATTATTATTATTATTATTTTGTATTTCATTTTTGTCATATTTTTATTTTAATAATTATTTTTATTTAATATGATGAATATATAACATTAGAAATGTTCCCGAATTTTTTTGACACAATTCTCTACTTTTTCATTTGGTCTTTCATCTTTTTTTTTTAAATAATTATTATTCAATTATGGTATTATGAGTTTCTCTGAAAAGTTGGATACTTTGTTTTTGGATTAGTTTTAAGTTATATATTTCATCTACATTATATAAATATTTTTTACTTATCACACAATTCTTATTTGACATAAATTTAACTATCATATCATCAATTTATTAATTGTACTTTTTATTACATTTTAAAGATTTATTATTTAACTATCATATCATCAATTTATTCATTTAACCCAAACTACTAACCCACCACCCATAAAGAAAAATAGTTTGATTTTTTGGTTGACATTAAATTTTGTATTACATTTTCATCAATGATAAAATTATTAATTCCTATGTATAAATATATAATACTTATTTTTGTTCAATATAATGAATAAATATTATTATAGATGTACCCAAATTTTTATTTTTTATAAATATATAACATTAGATATGTGTCCAAAATTTTCTCTATTTTTATTTTTGTGATTATTTGTATTTTTCTATTTTTAAACAATTTATTATTGGACTATACATCATTTTATTTCTAGGTTGATTTTAAATTTGGCATTCCAATTTCATCATTAATAAAAATACTACTTACAATTCATACTTCTTTTTATTTTATATAATGTATCTACAACATTAGTGATATGTCCAATTCTTTCTTTTGTATTATATATTTTATTTATTTTAATTTTTTATTATTTAATTATGGTATTATTTATTAACCCATTTGACCCCAAATGGTTGAATTACTTACCCACCACTAGAAAGAAAGAAAATGGTTTTGTTTTCAAATTACTTTTCAAAATATATTTATTTTTATACTATTAAAATTAATATTGTGGATTTAATTAATAGAATTTAATGATGGAATAAATATATTTTAAAAATAGGATTTAATGAGAGAATATACCTTAGATATTAAACCTAATGAGAGAGAATAGGCAAATAGTTTTATTTCCAATTGGTTTTAAATTTTACATTCCATTTCCATTATTAATAAAAATATTTCTTATTTATCATACTTATTATTGTTTAATATGTCAAATATATGATGTTAAAAATATTCCCATTTTCTTAATTTTTATATTTTTACATTTTATCAATTTTTGAAAATTTTATTTAATTGTGGCAACATAGATTGTTGATCCATTTGACCCAATTACCCTATTTGTCCTCATTTTTTATCAATAAATTTAAATATAGAGGGGTAAATTTTGTCTTTAGAAAATTCTAGAAATATTCTTGAGGCTACATGTGCTTTCTAAAATAGTATAGATTAGATCATATAATATTTGGGCCTACATCGAGCATTAAGTATTAGGCCCAGGCCCAACTTTGAAATTTGTGGACCTAATGCAGGCCTCAACTTGGACTGGACTGAAATGATCATCCTTAAGCAAAGTGGGTTTGGTTTATTATTATTTTTTTTAAAGAAAAACTAAAAATAATCAATGAATCTTAAGCAATTTAATGATGTAATTTTAAGAAGGGAGAATTAGTGGATTGAATTATTAAAGGAAAGATAGTTAAGACATGATTAATGAAGAGAGATAATCCAAGGAATGAACGAGAAAGAGAAGCAAGAGAATTAATACGAGGATAGATGAAAGCCTTAAAGATGATTGGCTACTAGAGTTATAGTAATACATGCTATATTGTTGATAAAGAGGAAGGATGCATGGATGGAGTAATGTTTTGCATTGCTGGTGACTAACTATATCAGCCATCAACAAGAGAGAGGGGCATGTGCCCTGGTCATTGAAGGCTTCGACCATTCGGTAGTAAAAATCAGTGTTCAGAAAATTGGGCCGGACTGTTGAACTGGTTGAACTGTGACCCTGAGCCCTGACTAGTTCGTTCACACCCCAATAACCTCATTTACCAAAAGCCTGGTGAAAACTGGCTGACTGACTGGTTTAACCAGAAAACTGGTGAATTGATGCCGCTTTCATAAAACCGCCTGGGCTGTTAAATACTTGAAATTTTTAAAATGAGTTCAAGAAGACTTAAACCCATGGCCTTTTATTTTTGTATATTGATTAATTACCACTGATCCACCTCTTTGCTTGTAAATTTTAATGATTCTTTCTCGTATATATTACTTTATTGCACATGTATTTTAAAGAAAATATAAATTATGAGACTTAAACCTTAGTCATTTGATTTAAAAATTAAAGAATTTGCTATCCATCCACCATATTTAAGCATATTAAAAGTTACAAAATATATTATCTATAGTATTTATATAACCCATATTACACAGGCACACATATATAAATGCCACATCATTCCGGTTCAACCCTGGTTGAACCTCTGGCCCGTGAACCTCTCCCTTCGATTCTATGCTGGGTCCAAGTCTCTGAACATTGGTAAAAAGGGCCCCTACTGTTTCTAATCCTAATGTCTCGAATTAGAATCCTACCTTTCTTCGTTTTTTTGAAGGGAGAGAATCCTATTTATTGTATTGTTGGGCTTTGGTCTCAATGGAATTCTCCTGAATTAGCGAAAAAAAAAATTACTATTGTAGAAAAAAGATGACAAAGAGACTAAACTGTCGGCATTTAGGAAATTAGGTCATGGTGACTAGTAGTCCCGGCCCCAATTCTATTTATACCTAGATAAATGAATAAATTTGTTCTCTCTATATCTTCTTTTGCTGTAATATTTTAATATATTAGTAAAAGTCTAGACTGTCTAGTAGATTGTCTTGCCACGCCTTCCAAAATCAAGATTTGATCAAAACCTAGCAACCATGCAATGTTTGTCAATATAACGAAATAGATTTTGTTTAGAAGGGTTATCCAGCTTTGGGCTCAGTGGCTCACCAGGATTCCCACTCCTCCACCATTTTATTTTATAATGTTAAATTCATTTTATTTTTTTCTATATTATTTTAATTTTTTTAAATAAAAATAATTATGATTCACAATCCTATCAAAATAAACTTAGATATATTTATACATATTTAATCATATTTTTAAAAATGTTAAAATAAAATCATCAATTATTCATTTAAAAAAACATAAATCTCAAGTTTTATCCCTCGACCCTTAAATCCATTCCCACTCCCACCCCATTCGAGACAGATGCCAGCGAAATAAAAAAAAACGGGAAAATTGTCATCCCGATCGAAAACCTATACAATGCGCCCTGCATCTAACATATTATATCAATATTTGTTCCTTTTGTTACAAGATGACTTTTTTTCCCGATTTTATTATTTCAATGTTCGATTGTTGACTTGTTGTATTATCAATGTTGCCGGTCTAACTGGACACCATCATTTTTGTCATTAGAGCACAAGTTGAACAGTTCTATTATTTGATTTGACCATTTTGTTCACAAGTTTAAAAAAAAATAAAAATGAAATAGCAAAAAAATTGTTTTTCGTTTTTTTTCTTGCTAATATTTCAGACTCCAAAGTGCACACTAATTTTATCCGACTCAAAAGTGCCCAACTGCCCATTAACCTGCTCGTAAATTTTTTAGCTGGTTATGGCGGAGCATGGGATAAAATCCCACCCTCACCTGAGATTGGGGGGTCTAAGGGTTTGGGGAGGGCTACCCATTCCAACTCGACCCGATCCAATAAGAGTCCATTACAGATGGATTAGATCTAATCCAATCTAACAATGTCAATACCATCCATTCAGTTCAAATTGATTTGAATTTAGATGGGATCCAACCCAAACCTCGTCCATTGACACCCATACTCTTATAGTCTTATCTTCTATCAATGGACCGGATATTGGTTTAATTCAACATAAATCCAATACAGATGGACCAGATCTAACCCAATCCAATAAATACTTTAGGCCATTAAGTCTGGACTGGCCCCTCCAACCCATTCCAACTTGATTTTGATTCGGATAGGGTCCAATGCAAACCCGGTCCATTGACCCCCCTAACAGTAGCTGGATCACGGGTTGTACTCAACGAGTTTGTCAGGAGAAAATCAGCCAAGACAACTGTACAAATAATGATTGAATTACATTCAAAAAGAAAAAAAAAAAAAAAAGACTGAACAACAATGAAAACAAATATACACCCAAAACGGGGGACAGGCAGAGAGCGAGTGAGATTAAACGCCTCAGTCAATTCAATGGCCTCATATGAAAGCAAGAGTTGGAAGGAAGAAATATCAGGTATAACACAAAATTTGAAGACATTCAATTTACATGTGTAACTTAATAGATGGATTATGAACTGTCCCAAATTAGACGGCTGAAACAAATAGGCATATCAGCAGTAGAAGCAGCAAGAGCAACCTCACCCTAAGACAATGAGGTATGCCAAGCAACCGTGAGGCAGCTGACTTGACGGGAGCCCTTCCAGCAACAGCTGGAGCAACTGCCCTCCCATTGGGGGTTCTCTGTTGCTCATTTGTCGGTAATGGGTTTTCAGGTCTATCATATGGAGGTGGCGTAAGAGGTATACTCCTTCCATCAGTGAGATCTTGACCTGCAAGAAAATTGTATCGACACTTCAGTTCCGCACAAGTATAGCAACAGGTAGGTACAGTGGCAGCGAATGGCGCAACAAAAATGAGCCTTTTTCGTCTTTTTTGTTGAGAGGATCTAGATGCTAATTTCCAGTCAAAAGGACTATATAGTGCAAGAGATTCCAACCAAAAATGAAAAATATAAAAACTATTGAGCAAAAAATATATCAAAATATGAATTGACAAGAGAAAATAGTCCATGTTTCGTGCAATACTGTTAAAATCCAATTTTATATGGCCACCTTTTTTACCAATATTTCATATGGTCCCCCTTACATGGCCACTTTTGCATGAAACTCAGCTAAATAGAAAAAATAAGCGCCACTAAGCAATATATGAAAATCAGCAAGACTTTTGCAGTGTTTTCAATCCATCGTTGCCCCAAACTTGTTGAACCATCCAAACCACCACCCAGCCATGATTCCAGGTCCAGTTTGGCTTAAACCCAGAATTTGATCAAAGCCTATTGACTTAATCAAAAACCGTCCAACGTGGGTGGCTGAAATTGACCCATTCAGCCTGCTCACTGGCTCACGGTTGCACACTCAATGTAGGTGCAAACTTCTGGAGGCCATAACTTTGTTCTCGGATGTCCAATTGGGTTTTTTTTATTTTGGGCAACTTTTTGAGAACCTTGGATGTTAAGGGGCCAAAGGCACCTTGCCCCATTATTTTCGCCCAAAAAAACCCTTTTTTGGCCTCAAATTGCATTTTTTAGCATTTTTTTAAAAATAAAAAAAAATTAAAAACTGAATTAAAAAATATCAATGTTCAAAGAACCGAACCAGGCATAGAACCGGAAAAGTGAGAGGTTCACGGATCAGAGGTTCAACCGGAGGTCAAACCGTGATGAGTGGCATATATATATATTACGGGTCACACAAATACTATATATAATATACTTTACAACTTTTAATATATTTAAATATGATGGATAGATAGCAAGTTCTTTAATTTTTAAAGTAAATGAGTAGGGTTTTTTATCAATAACTCAAAGATTTCATTAATAATAGAGGGAAGATAAAGAGTACAATAAAGGGGAGATAACATCTCTTATCTCCCCTATCCAAAACAAGAAGACAAAGGAAAAATTACAAGAAAGCCCAAAATAAAGAGTCCTTAGCCACCCCCTGTTTAGCTAGCTAACCCATCAGCAAAGGAGTTGGCATTTCTTTTAACCCAACTCATCTTCACCTCAATATTCTTAGTCAACCAATTGAATTTCCTCCTCTCATTGCTGTAGTTCCAAAAATTAGTTGTATCTTTTTTGAGCCAATCCACTATCAGTTAGAGTCACCCTCTGACCAATTTGATGATGTTCAAGCACCCTTTGAGTTCCTTCAATAACAGCTGAAATCTCAGCTCTAATAGAATCACCCACTAGGGTTCAAGTCTCGTAATTTACATTTTCTTTAAAATACGTGCGCAATAAAGTAATATGTACAATAAAAAGTCATTAATTAAAACAAGAAGTAAGTTAATGGTAATTAAGCAATATATAAAAATGGTCATGGGTTCACCTCTTAAACACATTTTAAAATTTCAATTGTTCAAGGACCTAGACGGTTTTATGAAACCGGGACCAATTCACCAGTTTTCCGGTTAAACCGGCCAATCAACCATTTTTCACCAGTTTTTAACAAAAACGCTTATTGGGGTATGACCGAACCACCCAAGGGTCATGGCTGACCCATTTCACCCATTTTTAACTAATGTGGTACAGTCTGACCCATTTGACCCAAATAGTCGAACCAGTGACCCGTGACCCAAGAGGCAAAAACAGTTCAACATCCAGGTCGGTTTTTAAAACATTGACTCTTTTCATTGCTAGAGTCCAATCTATCAAAGAATTCTAGTATTAATACAGATGCAAAAGGCATCCTTTTTCCTTGAGAAATCCTTTAATATAATTTTTTATGTTGAAAACATAGATCCTAGGGTAGTTCCCTAGGTAACATGGATCCATGAAGTTTAAGCAGCAAGAGGATGATTATATGTGGGTGCTCACAAATGTTTAYRGACCRAATGAYTAYWGAGAGAGAAAGGAGCTGTGGGAGGAACTGGCTGATGTTAGAGGGTTGTGGGATGGGCCTTGGTGCATGGGTGGGGATTTCAATGTGATTAGATTCTCAGAAGAGTCCAATAAGGTTAACCAGAGGGTGACAAAAAGCATGAGAAAGTTTAACAGTTTTGTGGATGCCTTTGACCTTAAAGAGATTCCCCTAGCACACAAGGCATTTACATGGTCAAATCTCCAATCTAGACCCATTTGCTCTAAGTTGGATAGATTCTTGTTCTCTTTGGATTGGGAAGAACATTGGGGAACCTTGGCTTCTAGAGCTCTCCCAAGGGTGACCTCGGATCACTGGCCCATAGTGTTATGTAAGGAGGAAAGA